CCCAAAACCCCAAAACCCCAAAACCCCAAAACCCCAAAACCCCAAAACCCCTGATAATAGATTTTTGGAACAACTGAAAGTAAATTAAAAAAATAATATCGTAAAATGATGAAGAAGAAAACCTAACTAGAGGAGGAGAAATCAGTCTCAAACCTCAGCTATGATAAATATGATAAAGAGTACTAAGACAACAGTGGAGAAGAAGAGGGGGATGAAGAGTCAGTTGAGCAGGCTATTAAATCTGAGGATCTTATTGTAAGCTATCAGATTAATAAAAATAGCACACTATTCAACTTATGAAGCTTAAGAATGAATAATGCTGTTTTCCCATTTTAATCATCTGTGGTTATTAATGACTTGAATCTTTTATAGTTCAGACCTGAGAGCAATTTAAGATAATGGCTTAAGAAGCGTGGGAAAGAGCATTGCATTGACTTTGACGATGAAGAATTAAAGCAACTGAGAAATTACTTCAATTCATTAGATGAGGATGGCTCAGGCTCTATAGGAGTGGACGAACTTGAAGATCCTCTAATTGCATTAGGTTTAGTTGAGAACAGATAATAAGTTTAAGAAATTGTAGACTTAGTTGACGAAGATGGCTCTTAATAAATTGAATTTGGAGAGTTCTTATCCATTATCAAGGGTGGTAGTAATGCAGTAAGTATAAATTTGCAAGAAAACTTAGCTTAATGAATTAATTTAGATGTAGTCAAAAGAAGGTCAAAATGCAGGTGGTGGCACTGGTGCTATTTATCAGTTCTTTAAGAAGTTAACTAGTGGATAGCTTAAAGTGGAGGAAAATCCATATATACCCTTCTCATTGTTTATTAGTAGTTATAGACGCAGAAAAATCTTAGATGCCATGATGAATCCTAACAAGTCCAAAAAAGAGGAAGGCGATAAAATTCTTAATAATTACAAAAAATAAATAGCAGAGAAAATGGCTAGGGAGAAGGCTGAAAGAGGAGAAACTCTAAGTTCAGCAACTGGTTCTAGAAAGAAAACTTTCAATAAAAGCTCATTTGAGGATGATGAAGATGCTGGATATGGTATGAGAATGGGAGAAGGGGGAGGAAATGAACCACCTGAACCTGAGGTTTTACTCTCTATACTACATAGAAGGACTAAAAAATGAATGTGATCTAAGCAGTTATGAGAGGTCATAATAAGGCAGAATGTATACACTCAAACGTTTTATTATATCTGTTAAAACAGATGTAACAAATTAACTGAGAAATTAGTTCTTATTGATTGAATTTATACAAATAATGAAAAATAAATTATTAATAAAGTTATAAATTTTATATTTTTGATAAGTTAAAATGGGCAATTGTAGCTTCCGTGCAGATGCTCTAGATCAAATAGAAAACAGTAAGCTCTTTAGAATTCATAATGCTGTATTTATAGCTACCATGAGCAAAAACAACTTTACATTCCATTATGTGATCGGCCGTGGTGGATTTGGAAAGGTAAATAATTTAGAATTTTAAGCTAAAAATAAAATTTTACTAAAAAATATGCCAATAGGTCTGGAGAGTTGAGAAAAAAAAGACTGGACAGCTTTACGCGATGAAAGAGATGTCCAAAGCAAGGATCATTACTAAAAGATCTGTAAACTCTGTGATGAATGAAAGAAAACTTCTGGCATAACTCAAGCATCCGTAAAATAATTATTCAGTGATGCAGCTTTACATACTAATATAGGTTCTTGATTAACATGAACTACGCTTTTTAAGATAGAGAAGATCTCTATCTGATTTGTGATTTATTAACTGGTGGAGATTTAAGATTTCACATTGGCAAGAAAAAAAGATTTAATGAAGAATAAACGAGTAAGGCCAAGATTATATCATAAATTTCATAATAATATGACTTTCCTATTTTGGATGAAGTTCTCATAATTTTAATGATATAGAATTCATGATAGCTTGCATGATTGTCGGATTAGAATATATGCATAATAATGGAGTTATACATCGTGATATTAAGCCTGAAAATGTGGTTATGGAAAGCAATGGTTATGTGAGAATTACTGACCTAGGAATCGCAAGAATATGGACTCCTGAGAATTCCTAAGACACCTCCGGCACACCCGGCTATATGGGTAAGTTACAACTGTTAATCATTAAAATTATAGCTCCTGAGGTTATGTGCAGATAAAATCACTGCTGTGCTGTAGATTATTTTGCTTTAGGTGTAATTGGCTTTGAATTTATGCTTGGAAAGGTAAATATCTTTTGATTAAAATAACTAACTTAAAATAGAGACCTTATAATGGAAAATCAAGAAAAGAAATTCGAGACGCTATCTTTGCAAAACAAGTCTAAATTAAGAAACATGAAATACCTGATGGCTGGAGCATTGAAGCAGCTGATTTCATTAATAAGGTAAATTAATCACTTATCAATTATAAAGTGCTTGCAAAGAAAGCCGGCCAATAGATTAGGACTTAACGGTCCAAATGAAGTAAAGTAGCATGTTTGGATGAAAGATTACAACTGGTAGGCCCTTCTTGATAAGAAACTGCCGGCACCATACGTGCCAGAACAAGGTGATGATAACTTCGATGCTAAGTAGGCTAATGGAAACGATCCTTGGAAGGAGGAGAATGCTGAGTTACTCAGATAGAATTCTCTCTTACTAAGACGAAATTCAATTCAAAATCTATTTAGTGGATATTACTATGACGTCGATCTATTAAGACAGCAAAAAGAAGAGGAAAGAAGATAAAACTTGGCAAATGCTGGTGGGAATCAGGCTGCAAATGGACCTAAATCCTCCGGACTATCTTTACTACCAGAAAAAGCACTGAAACCTATAAAAAACAATTCTAAGGCCGCATCAACTGCCTCTAGTTCATTTGTGAATACTCCCACAGCTAAAATATAATGAATGAGATTCGAATAGCTTTTTAATATATAAATCCTATTTCTTTGAACGGGTAATGTATAGATAGATATGGTATAGAAAATAAGTTATTTATTTAAACTTCTTATATTTCCAAATTTAAAGCTTTTCCACAATCCTGGGGTTTTGGGGTTTTGGGGTTTTGGGG